TTGCTGGTGATAACAGCATTAGTGTGAATGCAAAAACACAGACATGTATTCCCTTCAGATCAATCCTGAAGTGGAATAAGCAGATTAAAGATGGTGGAAATTTCACAGGAAGGTTTTCCCAACATTTTGAGGGTTTTCCTTGTTTGTTCCATTAAAAATACAAACTTTGCCTACACTGTTTACCCCAAAGCTTGCTTCAGTGGCTGGAGATTGAATGAAATTATGACAATGCAAGAACCCAGGAAGTGAAATTTGATCAAATCAGATGTGATTTCATCTTCAGTTATTCAGAGATTTTAGTGACATAAGGGATCGTGCCATCATGTAGTCTGACTTCTTACATAACAGAACCCATGGAATTTCACCCTGTAGTTCCTGTACTGTGTCCAATAAAAATATGGTTGAATTACAGCATAGTGTTTAGAAAGGCATCTGGTCTTGATTTTAGGAGTCCGGGTAAAATGTTTGCTCCTAATGCTCAGGTCATTCTAAAATGGGATGGGCACCTAATTCACTTAGACTTTTAATATTTTAGTTTTCTCTTTGAAAAATGCCTGCCATGATTGGTATGGAGCCATACAAACATACAACTAACATATTACCTAATGTTGCTCACAATGATTTCTGTAGAGAGGGAAAACAACACAGACAATACTCTTTCTTTAGTATTCTAAGGATCTTCACCTCTCATTTATCCTTTCCATATGCAATTTTTATTAGAAGAGATTAATAATAATTTCTTACAGTTTAATCAGAAAAATAAAAGTTTGAGTCAGAAAAACAGTGAAATACATCCTTAACATTTATATATTAAAAATTATGACAAAAACCAGATTAATAGAAGGCTCTAAACTTTTCCAGTAGTACCAGTAGTACTGGTACTTTGGAAAACCTGAGTACCAAAGTTTTCGGCTGTGTACCAGGCCAGGCAATTTTGAGGACAGTATCTACATCCTCAACAAGAAATTCATATGCTGTGATTTCTCTTTCTTTATGTAGTTTCTAATGATGCTTCTGCAGCGTTTGGTCAAAATTCTCAAAGTATTTTCCAGAGCTATAGTTGACCATGACTATGTGATCAACAATTCATATCTACGAAAACAGTATCTGAAAACTAAGGTTGGGAAAGGACAGAGTAATATGTGAAATGATCTAATACCCTTTCTTATCTGCATCATCCAGTTGGAGGATTTCATGTTGAGAAGCATGAGTGCTAAACAGTAATCCCTAAATTCTACTCAGGTAGGGGAAAACCTATCCTTCATCTTACCATGCAGTTGGGCAGCCATCAAGGTACTGTCATTATCAAGTGCCTCTTATCTGTAGGTACAAGGAATGGGACAGAAGATGAGAGGCACTGCCATCAACTTTACCATTGGTGAAGTCTTTTTTCCATTCCTGTTGCAGCTGATGTTGAGTAGAAGTTGCTGCTGGTGAGCTCACAAAAGCACAGTGGGAGGAATGGCATCTGCTTGCAGGGATATCAGCTGGGGTGTGCTGCCACATGGTGCCTGCACCTCAGCCTCACCTTCCAGATATTATCTCAGGGCTCCACTGAAGACTTTGAACTAAAAGCAGTCAAATGTAACCTTTCTAGTGGAGCACAGGGGTCTCACAGAAGGATAGCAGCAAACACCTGTGTAGAGTGAGGGAGCTAGCAACCCCTAAAACGCTGGCAGATTATTTGTTTGCAGTCAGAACCCTCAGCCAGTTTGTGCCTTAATTCTCTTAAATTGCCCATATCTAGGACATTCAATCATGAGACTATCCACGTCGAAGAGAGAGAAATCCTTACAGCAAGCAGAAATGAGACTTTAATTTCTTATTCAGTTAGAAAGTGGCATGAAAAGAAATTTTAAAATGGTTATAGAGGAGAGATGCAGAGGAGGCATAAATGAGATTGAAATAGAAATTTTCAGTATGTAAAATAAGTTGCTAAAATATTCCTACCTACAAACAAATATATTGTATCTATCCTAACTCTGCTTCAAAGTGAGTAAAGAACTGAACTTCTGTTTTTCATTGATGGTTTTGAAGATTTAGCCAGTTATTTTCATGGAGAATTGCTATGTCACCATTTAATCAGAGCAAATAAGAGATCACAGAACAGGCAAGGTTTATTGTTTATTTCCCTAAGACCGATAAGAATGCAACATGATAAATAGGAAAATTAGACTGCTTAAAATGTTAGCTCAATGAAGGACATCAGATATTGTTTATGGATTGCAGTGAGGTTTTGCAATTATTTTTTTAATTGTTCCTGCATTACTTGTGGGCATGTGACATAATTTATGCTGTTATATTGTCAGGCTTCTGATCATGGGAAGGGCTATTTGTTTAGACTGTGTAGCTCCTCACTTTAATTCGCTCTGGCTCCAGTGTGACATGCTAAAACTACTATCAATGGAAAATCCAAATTTCCCAGAAAGACTTAAAAGAGCACCCTCAGTGAACTGAAATTATCTCCTCTTAAAGCTAATTACCTTGGTATACTTAAGAAAGTAGCACTATAGGAAATCTGTTTCCTTAGACTTTCTTTTATTTCTTTAAATGCCTCAGGTCAGCATGAATAATTATTGTTTGCTTTTATTGCACTTTCTTTCATTATTCATCTACATGCCTCTGAAAGGACATAAAACTAAAATAATCCAACAAATTAAGAGTAATTTTTTGAGACACACATTCATTATTTAAAAACAAACAGAAAATATTTTCACCTTTCAGTTTATTTTATTAGAAAGAAAGTACTGTGAGGTTTCTTTTTAATAGGAAGCTTTAAAGCATTAATGAGTCTCACAGGGCAGTTATTGCAAGTAAATATGGAATGTGTCCAAAATTAAATACATTCTACAATTATCTGTTACCTAAGGGCTGGATGTAGGAGAAATATGCATCAAAGGTTGCTTGCTGATGAAAGCAACACATGATTCTGCATTCTATGTCTTCTTCTTTCAAGACAGTCCACCTACCATCAGCAGTGTGGCAATTTTCCCACTCCACAAGAGTGGGCTTGGAGCAGTTTCCTTATTTTAACTCACCCAAACGTAACTTTGGCAATGGTTTTAAAGCCCCACATCCCAAGGATTTTATGACCTCACAGGAGCTGCCTTTTATAAGGGCTAACCTGGGAGACAAATCAGGAAACTCTCATACTCCAAAGACTTCAGTGTGGACTGGAGCAAATGGGCTGGCTTACATGCTACCAAGGTGATAAGGATTTGTGAGGAGAGATTTCAACCCAGCTCACTATCACCAATATCCCACTTCCACTTATTTTTATATAAATTAGGCACTGCTTTCCCAGACTTAACATTAAGAGAGTTCTTTCCCTATTAGTGCTGTATGATTCAGCTCATCCTTTGTGCAACCCAGGCATGAACCTATTCAGACTGGACCTGTGTTCATCCCTCTCTAGATAGGTATTATTGAGACACTGCCAAATGCACTTTGTCACAACCACCTTGTACTGATTTCATTTTAGAAGTTAAATGTAACAAACAGTTGAGTGATGACAATAAATAAGGAATTATACAGAAAGGTTAATTTTTTTGAAATGAATGAACAATAGGCCAGTATTCCTATACCTTTTCTAACCCTGGATTATCCATGTGGAAAATAACCATCATTCTCCTTCATTGCCTATTTAGTACAAGTTAAGGAAAAACAATGAAACAATTTTAAAGCAATTTTTTAGATACTTTCTTTTTTGTTGTCATGGAAACAAAGAAAAACACTGCCACAGCAAATAAAAAATCAAAGCATCTTCTGCAAGCACCCATAATTACTCACATATCTGCCTGTCTGTTCATCACCCCAGTATCATTTGTCAAGCTCTTTGGACAAAGATTAATTTTTGGCCCAAAAAGCAGCAAAATGAAATCTCTAAATATCATTATAATTTTAGTAATCCTCCCAGTAATATTACTCCTTATCCTACACTTTGCTTATGTAGTGTTCCCTTTTTCTACACCAAGCTATTGATCATATTGTAAGGAGCTTGTCATGTTGAACCTCTCTCCCGTAGATTAGCTAGTTTAGAAATACTTTCCTTTTAAAGGTCAGTATTCATGTTTGGAAGAAAGAGGAAAAAAAATTGATGTAAAAAGCCTGCTTTAGAGAAAGGCATCTAGAAGAAAAGGGATTTTTAAATCTATCTTATTTTCAGAAGTGAGCTAAAGATCAGCAAAGAGCTGCAAATCTCTTGTTATTTTAGCCCTAACTACACAGGATGTTTTCTGTGGCCAAAAAATCTCTTAGGGAAAAAAACTCTTCATGAACTCCTGGCTACAGAGTCATCTTGCAAAATGGAATAACACTGTTAATTGCATAGGAAAATAATTCCCTTTATCAGTATCCCCTTTTGGTTCTATTCTTGTCTTTTTGGTTTAGGGATGAGAATAACACTTCCTAATAAGCTGCATTTAGTATGCTTCTCAGTAACATGATAATGGAGAAATGGGTTGATTTGCTGTGCCTTCCATAATGAAATCTACCTAGCTTTTATCTTTATAGAACAATGATAATTATAATAATTTGCTTTAAACCCTTGTGACAATCCCTCTATTTTATCCAATAGCGTATAATGATGAGCTTACCAGTTTATAAAATACTTTCTTTTCAGATGGATGATAGTCATCCTTCTGAACAGAAACAGAAAAGCAATTTACATGGATAAGAATCAAAACTGCTTGAACCATAAGTTTAAAACAAGAAAATGTAGACTGTTTCTTCAAAGGCATAGTCCAGATGTGAGATGTACAAGCTAAAATGCTCCCTGCTGCAGACAAGTCTAAATTCTTTTGTGTAACAAGTGCACATTAATGTTTCCAGGAACCAGTTTGGGGGTTTTGGGTTTTGGTTTGGGTTGCACTAGGTTTTTTTTATATTTTGTATTAATTAGCTAAATTCTGTAGCAAAATTTTTAAAAACCTTGTAGCAAAAGCAGATTTCTTACCATTGAAAATCAACTGAAGAAAAATAGACTAGGGTAGACTAGGAAGTAGAGTAAGTTATTTATTTGAATGCAGTTTGGGTTTAGCAGTTTAATTTTTTATCAATTTTTTTTTTTAATTTGTGGGTAGACACACAAGCATTCTACAAGTACATATTTGAGCAACATAGCACATGTGTTCTAGTGATCAACATAAAGGTAAGCTGAACATGTAATATTGTAAAAATGAACTAGGATATTAACTTACTAAAAGTTATTGGAAATTAGGATCCAGTGGAGTTCTATATACTAGTGTTGAGGTTAAAGACATGAGGAATCAAATATATACAGATGTACAAATTTTCAACAGGACTCTGAAGGTTTATTCCTTTTTCTTTCTTTTTAAACAAAATCTGAAGCATCCCACATACATTTTTGGGTCTTTTGAAAATGCTTTCCCAAGTATTTAGACATCATGGTAGGAAGGGTTTTTTCAAACAAAAAAGAGCAAAGAGCAGATGGAACTTCAAATCTGAAGTGAAGCAGCAGCAAAAGATAGCTGGTGACATCTGAAAGTGACAAGAGTGCTGATTGTCATCAAGCAAGTTGCCTAAATTTTAAAGAGGACAGAAAACCTGTTAATTCCTTTATTTTGGGGGGTTTGTGACTTATTAATTTTTTTATTTTTTTTTTTCATATTTTGACATCCTGCTTTTCAGTGTGGACATGCTTGAGCTAAAGACCTTAGTAACTTTGGGAAAGACCTTTACACACAATTCTATCAGGGCAAATTCACAAAAGTGTTGGTGTGTTGCTTTGAGATATTGAGTTCATGCCTGAGTTTGTGATTCTAAAGGTCCTTAGATGGGAGTGAAAAAATAACAGAGACATTCTGGGATAATCTTTAGTCAGTCTTTGACTGACCTCTTGGAGAATGACTGGATTTCTATTGTGTGGACATTTGTGGTTGGAGCTGAAGGAGGGGCAGGCTTCCAGGAATGGGAAAGTCTGAGAACAGCTGGAATATGGTTCCTCAGATGCTGTGACAGTATCCGGAAATATCTGTGGTATGACAGAAACGGTGGAGGAGTCATGAGATTATATTATGCACAATTATTACAGCTCTTTTTTTCTGCACCTCATTTAATTTCTTGATGAAACAGAGACTGGGGATCCAGTGTTTTACAGTTTTTCAAAAGGTAAAATATGGGATTAAATCTCAAGTTTACCATAAAGAAATCTCTGAAAAAAGATCTTGCAGTCAACACAGGAAACATTTTCAAATATAAACTTTGCAAGTCCTATTTAAAATAAGTTTAATTAGAACATTCTGGAGACTAGATTTACTAGTATCCATTCTTCAAAATGTTGTACTGATGTTCAAGTATTTAAATTTAAAGGCATAATTGAGCACAATGAATACATTCCCATATGCTTAATTGACATCGTCCTGTCCACCCAAGTCTGGTTTCTCATTCTCCAGTCTCATGGGCAATCACAGCATGCATCATCTGGCTTCCTCCAAGCTTGGAAAAAACACAGCAGTTTCTCAGTCCTTTACAAATTCTTCTGATCCCATTCAACAAAAAGTGCTGAGACCACCAGAGCCAGCAGTATTTGAGCCCATGTGCCAATAGCTGTGCCAGTGGGACCAAGCCTCTGTAGCCCCAGCAGTACCAGTGCTACAAGATACTGCTTTCAGCCTTGCTCAGCAGAGGCTTCTGCTACAGTCATAGGTGAGAAAGGAACTGATAACTCTGTCCACCTATATTTGTAAGCATGCTGTCCTTACTATAATTAACTCACGTGCCCAAAATACTGAGGTATTTCCTGCTGGGCAAATGTCCTTTACTGAGGTCTTTGGTAACCTTTTACCCTGTGTTCTGCAATCACTCTATCCAACTTCCCTGTGCTTTTCAGCCAGCTTAGGCCACACTGTCCTGCCCTGCTGCAGTATAGAAACTCAGGATTTCTAGGCTACATCTGAAATTCTCACTCTCTACTTTTTCTTTCTCTGGGTTGAACAAATTTAAGACAAAGCCAGTGAATTACATGATCAATCTCATTTTATTAGCCTTACCTTCTCCTCAATATTTACTGCTTTTCATTATCTCACTTAAGCTGGTGATTTGACAATTATTTGATTTTCTCAGAAACTGTGTTGGCAATCATTGAAATCTTCATTATTCACGGAAGAAGAGACTAATGTTTCAGTCTATATTCAGTCTATTCAGTCAGATTTGGAGGTTTCTGCTAAAATGGAGAAGCTTTACTTTTGGCTGGGTCCTTTGTCTAGGCTTGTGTCAAATTTATATTTGATCTTTGACATTGGGATATTATTCTGAAGTTATTCAGTTATTTCTAATACCTATAAAAATATAATTATTTACAGAACTTTTGTTCTATTTGTGAAAAAAAAAGAATTAATTACCCATTCAAAGAAAAAAAGTATAAAAGGTGTGCTGCTGACGTGTATAAATGCCACAACTTGATAGAAATTTACTTTGGTAGGTGTTATACAAACCTCCCAACAAGTCAATTGTGTTGCTATAAGACACTGCCTAAGTTCTCATTAAAAGATTTGGCCTTGGTCTCTGAGGTCAGGTCCCAAGAGGCTATTTGATTCCAGATGCAGATGTAGTCTAACCTGCATCTACTCACTACTTATACCCCTTTCCTGGAAAAGAAATCTGATTTCAGAATTTTCAACATCTAAAAAGAATGCATCCATGAATACAGCAAAGAGAGGGATGAACGTGATGCGCACTATTAGGAGCAGTGCCTTTGTTAAGGAGACAGCTTTACACCTTGACAACCCTTATGTCTGCTGACACCATTGCCCAAATGTGAGTCACATGTTATCATACACTTGACCAACACAAGCTTTTGGAAAAGTCTATAGTACAGAAGCTAGCTGAGAGGTAGTATGGTGCTGAGACACAAGGAAATGGTTGGAAATGGTTTGGAAGAGGCAGCTGTATAGTGTAGGCTTTGAACATGAACAGATTAATGCCCAAGTAAAAGAGATTAAAGAAAACATATAAACAACCAGCTTGGACCAGGGGAATGATTTTCATCATATTTTTCCAGCAGAACCTAGTGTCCTTCTACTGTAGATTCTGCAAACTTACACTTCTGGGTCATTTTTTCCTAGTCACTATCGTACAACTATGTTTGTGGAACTATTCCTGGTTAATCCTATGCTATGGTACAGCCACTCCTTGCTGTCTGGAAATGAAAGAACATTTCCATGAGCTGCAGATGCCAAAACAAGGAAAGGGTTACTTTAAAAATGGATGAGTGCATTATGGGCTTAGGTTAGGCCTACTAGAAGTGGGCAGAGGATTTTCCTGGCTCCCATAGACAACTTTTATCTCAGCCCATTTATCCTCTGAAGATACTTGAGAAAAGTTCAGGCCTACCCTTCTGAAAGCAGTACTGGTCTGGTCTTCTAAGACTGAACTCTGTAATGCACAACTCTCACAAAAGCAGAAAGGTCTTGGGCAGGTTGAGAAGGAGAAGGACTATGAGTCAGCCTGGGTATCCAGAGGAATCCCCTGCATTTTTCATCGGAAAAAAATTAATAAATCCTGCCTTCGAGGGTGTCTGCAGCTCTGAAGCAAAAAGTGCAGCACTGCTGCTCTGTCTGGTGAACATAAGTGTCCTTCTGTTCCACACTCAGATGCTGCTGGTCAGCTGGGCCATGTCCTGCTCTCAGAATTTGGCCAAGTATAAATATTTACTGGAATTTTTGTTATAGTTTTAAGACAAAGGTCAGCATAAGAGAGCGGACTACGTATCAGTCCTTTTTCCTTCAGAATTAAAGCTCCTTTGTTAGTTTGCAAGAACCTGACCGCGTAAGATTTACTTTCCCTATCTTCAAAGCATGGCCATTTGGCACATAGGAATGGCTCTGTGAGTTCTCCAGCTGACTGATCTCAAAGAAGCTCTGCTAACTTACTCAAGGCCTGTGTCTGACCAAACCACAACAAACTGCGCCCCACATACCTCATGAAAGAGATGGGAGATCTCTGAAATAAAGGAGAGGGAATGATATTTTGTCATCTGTAAGCATCAACGGAAGCCTCTTCATTGGTACTGGAGCCTGCAGTCAGCATTATATCAGCAGCTGGAACTAACTCCACTCAGAATGCTGATCTCAAATTGCAACTGCGTTGTAGCAAACACTAGAAATCAGGAAGAGGCTGTTAGGGAAATGACCTCCCCTTACCTGCCAGCTGTATAAGAGCACATGTTGTACCTGCACCATCTGTGCATACAGCTTCACTGTAATTTAAAGTGTAAAAGCCATCATATTTTTCTGTCAGGATTCAGGACTCCCTAGTGTACACTAATATGTAAAACACTTTGTTGGTATAAGGTCCAATTGCATGTGCACATATGTCAGCCTTTACTGAGGCTCACTAAGTCATTGTCAGGCAGATGTTGTTTTGCCAGGTGTGCTTTTGTAGAATTTACATCTGGATAACTTTCCCAGAGAGGATTTTTAAATTGGAGATAGGCAAACTCAAAAAGTTTAGAAGTTCAATTAAATTAACATCTAAAAACCTGGATGATTATCTGAACCAAATCAAGATCCCCAAAATAAGAGTATAGGTCTTATAGAATAGACAAAAATTGTATTATTTCCCTGCCATGATGACTTTAGCCAAATTGTTTACCTTGTCCCTAGTTTAAAACCTTGTGAACCATATTGCATTCCAATTAACCTAGGTGGAAAATTTCCCACTCATTTGAATAAAAAAAGGAAAGTTTTAGCTATGTATCTTACAAAGTATATCCAATGCAAAAAGCAGAAACTCTGTATAGAAGTAAGGCTTTAACTTGCCTTTTATGTTTTGATGGGAGAAATAGGATATTGTTACCAATACCAGAGGTTCAAAAGTCACTTTTTCATTTCATGGTCAGAGAGCATTATATTTGTAATTTGGGGGAATTTAATAAAATTCCTCGCTTTTCTGCTGTAGAAAACTAACTAGCCTAAAATGCAAAGAAACATGTATTTGATAGACTTGGGCAGTTTGAAAGGTTGGATGCTAACAAAGACAATTGTTCTCCTTCACATGTTAAGCATTTTAAAGATCTTGACAGGCAATAATAAGAGTTTGACTTGATGACTGGATTTGAGGGAATAATTAGTAATGGACAATTTATTAAAGAGGTATGGCTTATTTCTTCATCTAAAAATACTCCTCCAGAGGGGCAAAAATTGGTGATGGAATTTTCTATCAAGCTTAATAGAAAATTCTTCTCAAGTCAATGAAATTACTCAAAATAATTCTCTCCATTTATTGATTATTTATAATTGTGTGGTGATAATGTCTGATAATATTGCTTCATCGTTAGTCATTCAGTAACTTCTTTTAAAAGTCCAGCATTTTTCCTGTGAAATATTTTTCTTGTATAAATAAAGAAACACCTGTCTGATGGAAGATATATTTGTTAAAAATATGTGAGAATTTCACATAAAAACATTCTAATTCACAGAATTACTTATTGTGATGTGCAACCAAATATTTCCAGAATATTTTTGTAGAATAGAGCAATTAAACTGCAACCATTGAATCATTGGTTTGATTGGGATATGTAAAAATACCATGATTTCTACTGATATAAAGTCATTAGAAGAAAACAATCTGTAAACAACATAAATGTGCAAATAGGAATTGACTGCACTCATATCTTAGGACATGAACATACATTGTTGGAAAACCTTTATTTTGCTACACAAGTTCTCAAAGTTCTCAATGCTACCACCTTTCAGACTGTGTATAGATAGATGAACAAGGACTCTGTAAACTCTTCTCATCTGACAGATTTACTATATTATATATTTTATTATTCAGTGCATAAATGCTGAAAAAAGTGAAATATGATGGAATAACAGAATTATACAGATTGAAAAAGACCTCCAAGATCATTGTGTCCAGGTTCTGATTGATAACCATGCTGTTAACTAGACCACGACACTCAGTGTAATTTTCAGTCATTTCTTGAACTTTTCCAGGGATGGTGCCTCTACCACCTCCCTGAAAAGCTTGTTCCAATGTTTAACAACCCTTTCCATGAAGAAATTCTACTTGATGTCCAACCTGAACCTCCTCTGGTGCAACTTGAGGCTATATCCTGTCATCCTTTCAGGTGATTGTAGAGAGTTACAAGGCTCCTCAGAGCCTGCTTTTCTCAGGCTGAACAACCCCATCTCCCTCAGCTGCTGCTCATAAGACCCTTCACCAGCTCCACTGCCCTTCTCTGGACTCTCTCCAGCCCCTCAATGTCTTTCATGCAGTGAGGGGCCCAGAGCTGGACGCAGGATTTGAGGTGTGGCCTCACCAGTGGCTGGCTCAAGTTCAACTGCTGTTAATCAGCACCCCAAGTCCCCTTCCACTGGGGAGCTTCCCAGCTACACTTCCCATCTGCACTGCTGCATGGGGTTGTTGTGACTGGATATAGGAGGCTAAATCAGAAAAGGCTGAAGGGCTGTTAGAATAGACATTAAAATTCCAAGAACCACCTTGCTTTCAGATGAGGATATATGTTAAAAAGCAGGTAAGGTGCCATGTTGTCTTGAGATACATCAGAGATGAGTCCTATTGGTCAGTCTTCATCTAGCAAGGTGTTTTTAGGGGTTCTGTTTGCAAGTTAACTGGCTTACATTTTTCATGTATTGTTTATACTAAAAGCAGACTTCTGTGAAGCAGCCTAGGTAGATGTCCTCAAGCTTTTTAAAGGTGATTACCATTAATGCCTCTTGCACGAGGTTAACAGAAATACCTTTTTTTTCCTGAATGTCACACTTCTGGTGACTCTGCCAGGACTCCAATTCCTCTCTTGCAGAAGTTCTGTGAAATGAAGAGCATAAGAAGGTGAAGAGGAGGTTTCAGCAAGTAGTACAGGAACATCTAAGAACAGCTCTGCAGCCAATAATTACCCTGAATAAATAAAAAAATATTCTATAAGACTTTTTTAATATAGTAAATTAAATTACTTTAAGAGAGGCTTTAAGATAGCTTAATTACAATAAATATAAGATAAAAAATTTGTAAATATATATTTAACTTTTCAGTTGACCAGGTGTGTATTTCAAATTTATGGTGAATTCCAGACCATGAACATATCAAAGTGATTTGTTGGTTATTTCAGTCAATCTTTGTGCTACTGTGGTAATTCCTGATTAGTCAGGATGTGAGGTTTGGGATTATGTTCAATAGGGAAAAATAATTAAATTAAAAAGAAAAAAAAAAAATATATATATAAACCCATAGTTGTTATGATAGGTGCAGGACTGACAGTGGCAGAAAAAAACATGCTTGTATTCTACTGGAAAAAATTCACCAATTGTATTTGCTTCCTTTAAAAAATAAAATATTGTTTGTTCGTTTCAGAGCTGGCCTTATTTTTACATGAAAAGTGAATTTTAAGATAAGGCTATATTTTCAAACATAAAAGGATTTTCTTTATCTCACTTCCTGACACTCTGTTTTAGCTGCTTTTTCTTTAAAATAATCATTTGACCTTTTAAATTACTAGAACTGGAGATAAAACATCACAGAGCCTTTGGAGATGACAGACAACTGATCAAATAATTTTCAGTTGCTCTATCTGTATCTTAAAGCAGTGGTTGCAAAATCCAGCCACATTTGAACAGCATCAATCTGGCTTTCTGTCATTTATGTAAAATTTTTTTTTATGGTCACAGAAATTCATGGTAAAACTGACCTGTAAAAGAGTATCTTTTTCCAGACTGTTATGAGAAAAAAACCAAATAAAACAGGGGAATTTATCCCATTATGTTGGAAATTAGCCAACCACAAATCAGTGTGCACCTGCTAAAATAATTGTCTCTTTCTGGTGCTCTCCATATGATACTCCTTCACTGTGCAATGCAGTGTAAGTAAATCAGCTATCTTTTAGGGAGACCTGATGGCAATTAAACTTGATTAATAGCTGCTGTGCTTCCAAGGTATTAGTCTTTTCTTCTTTCAACCTTGATATTAATATGAATTTTCAACCCAAACATAATTTTGTGAAATGTTATGGAATCTGAAGACAGACAGAAGATGTTTAAGAAGACAAAATGAGATTATAGGTCATAGATATCTTTTTTAAAAGTTGAATAAAAATGAATTGAGGTCCAGGAAGATCAGAGAGAAGAACTCCATCTCCTCTTTTGCCAGACCTGGGGTTGAGTCTGTGTCATGCAGTGATAAATTTGATTAGATATGCTGGCAGTGTGGCCAAGATGATTGAGGTCTTCTTCTTGTGACAGATTCCTATGATTTATGTTACATGCAAACTTTTGGTCCAGATAAACTTAATAAAAAAATGCAGCCCTACAGTTTAATCGTGCCAGATATGTGCAATGTGTGCTAAAAAGCACTGCAAAAAGAGCATGGACCACTAGAGGTCTGAGCATGAAGTCAGATGTGTGTTATTGTCTATCCACACAACCTCCAAAGAAGTTTAAAGGAAACACCTTGAGACTTGTGTGGATTTTTATTAACCCTGCACTGTGAATTGATGGAGTGCTGGGGAAAAACAAACATAGGCAGAGAAAACATGAGGCCTGCCCTGCACAAGAGCTCTTTATTGACAGTTTATGACATAGGCTTGGAGTGGCCCAATATTGTTCCTACGACCTTTGCCTCCCAAAACTTACAGGCATTTTGAGACTTTGTTCATCCCGTGAGGGCCTGCTGGCCTTGCCACTGCAACTTTCTCCTCGGTGCTGTTCTGAGCATTAATTGTGATCACTGGAGACAATTACAAGGGCTTCTTGCCATCCCTTGACCTAAATTTCTTCTTCCAGCTTCATTTTTCTAATCTACACACAGACCTAGTTCAGGATTGTGACAAATTACACAGGACAGATTAGTAACCAGGTCTACAGTTAACGAAACTTTGAGCTGGCACCCAAATTCCAAGCCCATGTTGATCCAAATTCAAAAAATTCAAAATAGGTTGCAAGAGAGGAAAGGACACACAGCCTATTTTTTTTTTTTTATTTTTTTGGTTTTTTTTGGTCTTCCCTGGGTATAAGGAAAAGCATTGCAAGAAATAAAGCTGTATTGAGCTCATTTGGTTTTTTTGTTCTCTGTTAGCTTGCTATTAAAAAACCAAATTAAGAATGGCTAATTGGTTAAATGCCTGTACATACATGTCTTTTAGTAACGAAAAAATTAGTACAGTTGGGTTTGTTACCTATATGAGTATTAAATGTGATAGGTTAGGAAAGGTATCTCCCTTGATGCCAGTATATCTTTCGGTATTATGCTCTGTTAATTTCTTTTTGCAGTAGCTTTCTTCTCAATTTTCTTCATATCTTAAAAAAAACTGTTAAGAAAGTGGACACAGAAAAAAAAGATTTTGGCTAAATATTCTAAAGCCAAGAGCAGGCAAAATGTAAAAGATCAAGATGAAAATTAAACTTACTTCAAAAGAAATCCAACATTGCTACCAGACTTCATGTTATCTAACAGGACTCATTAAAAGAAAATGGAACAGAGCAGTAAAATAGATAATAAGTACACACTGAGTTCTAGGGCCAATTTTTCTGAGTGATTGAGTTCTTCGAGAGCTTGCAGAGATTAAAAGCCTGCAATCTATTTTCCTTACCACTGTTGTGTCTTGCCAAATCTGTCTTGAGAACTAGAACAGGAAATACCCTCCCAGCAGCTGTATCTGTAGATTTCTCAACTTGGGCTTTTACTCACAAACAGTATTCTGCATTTCTGGGGCATGGTCACATTTTTGCTTCTATTCAAAAAGTTCTCAAATACATCACTTTGGCAATGGATGTTAAATATCTGTCATTCAAAAGAGCAAATAAAATGGAAAATAAAGTTTCAACTAGGCTGTTGAAATATGACAGCCAAGAAAGGACAGCCAGTAGAAAACAAGATCTTTTGAAGTATCAATTCAAGCATAATAATAAATCTGTACAAACTGTAATGTTCTTGTTCCCCTTTTTCTTCTTGCCTTCAGCTTCCACATTACAAAATTTGCAATATTTTTTTTTTAATTGGTAAGTAGATATATGGTTGTTAGAACAAGTAAAAATCACCTGTCAGACAATTCTGTGAAGTGAGCAATTGCAAGAAAATAGTACTACATACACTATTAATAGTCCATATAGGACACTTGGCTCCCAAGAGTGGGACAGCTTAAAATCCTCTGAAAATGAAGATAAATTCAGAATCTGCTAATTTTTTTTAATTTAGTAATTAGCTAAGAAATTATTTCTATATGTATAGTCACACCAAATAGTTGCTTCATTAACAAAGTCAAACTTCTCCACAAACCAAAAACTTTTTTGGCATTTGTTACATTCTTGTTTTTTACATGCAGATGGATAGATCAGTTCTCAACTGATCTATCCATCTTCACTAAGAACCTCTTTTCTGATTGCTTTGATGATCCTTAGTTGCAATATTCAGAGAAATTACAAACAATTAATGTCTTTTTAACTTCTCCGTGCCAGTCTCGTTTATTCATCTCTTTCATGCTCTGATTCCCTGATTCCCCCATTCTATTTCTCTCCCAAAATGCTTTCTTTTTTTCAAAGCAGGTCTTTCTTTGCTCTGATACAATCCTGTCCCCGTTTCTCTGAATATTGTCCAGATCTACTTTATTTGGTTTTGAAATTCAAGGTGTCAGCCGGATTTAAACTGTTGTACAATGAAGTAGAGGTTGACATGATCTGTGCAGAATCTGAAATAAGGGAAAATCATAATTACAATGCCAAGATATTCCAAAGAACTACAAGTAGTAATGCTGAAATCTAAATGTTAACTCCAGGTTTTCACTTTGGACTTTGTTGCTGGGTTTTTTTAAACCTTTACTTGCATGGTTCCTTCCTTTGGAGATTTCAAGCACCAAATTTAAAGAACTTTGAAATTCCAGTAAGTGACTATGAACCATTCTGATTTGGAGTTTGAGAAACTACATATTTTAATGGAGTCTGTGCATATCAGTAAAAGACTGCAAAAAAACCCTTTGACTGATCACTTATGAAAATTATGCAACATTCAAGAAACTTCCACAAAACTTCCGTAGCAGTTAAATATTTTTTCTCTCTCTCCCTGATCATGCCTTCTGATTGGCATGGTAAAGCAAAATCCAACACCAGCCCAAGCTGCTCTTTTTATAAGATGACAGTCAGGGAGTGGCTCGGCTGATAAGTGCCAAAATGTTCCAGAAACACATAGACACGGATGCTTTGATTTTAATGCAATTTAAAACACAAGAAAAACTTGCTTGGGGAATAGCCATGCTCTCCAGACTGCTTAATTCTACTATTGCTACTTTCTACTGCCTGCATGCCTCAAAGGCAGCAAATTAATCTTATGTGTGAGCAGATAATGGCTGAGAGTCTACCAAAAAAATAAAAGGAGTTTTCCAGAGCAGCCTGTGGGAAGAAACAAAAGCTTCAATACAGGAAGACAGAAACAGCAGGCAACAAAGCAACAGCGGATGTGGAGTAAAGAGGAAGCAATGAAAAACTGGATTTGGAAACATGGAAAAAATGCAAGAACCCAGAGAACAGAGCAGGAAGACTCAATGGAAAACAGGAAAAATTTTATAAGTAACGGGATCCAGAGTCAAGATGCCAGAAGAGCTAGCAACTTGGCCACCAGAATAAAAAATGGGGGAGATGAACATCCTGCTTCTGTAAAAGATGGAAACTGGGCTGTCATTGATCCACAGGATTCTTGGTATACATGCAGGAGTTACTGAAAGGAAGAGCTGGTGAAGGGCACACAACAAGCACAGAGATGTGAGTGCTAATGAATGGCAGGGAACCTGGGCAAGGTTGGCTTCTCAGGCTGCAGAATAAATGCAC